GCCGATGCGCGGAGAGGGAAAATTATTAGCCGCGAGCACGGCAGCTCTTCCGAGTATAGTTTCTCTCTTTCTCTGACACCGGAAGGGCAGTTTTTTTTTCTTCTATCCCCCCCTTGCGCGCCCAAGTTACACCGTGTGCGGTATAATATTCTGATTTCTGGCTTAATTAAAGCGGGAAGTTGTACACCCGACCGGGCGATGATGGAAATTTTCAAATTAAAATTGCCGGGATTATACCGATGGAAATTCTCTCACCGCGCGGAGGATTTGGTACGTATATACAGCGTGTGGGTGTACGATGTGTTAGGAGGTGAAATACGAGTTAATCATCTTTTCACGAGGTTGAAAGTGAAGTGCTTGGAGCTGCTTAACTTTGAAAACATACACACACAACACACACACACACACATACGCGGAATCAATTGAAGCAGGGCCACGCAGGAACTCTTAAGCGACAAATGATAAACTTCCTTTTTCGCTTCGCTGCTCGTCTCTCGGGTTTTTGGTTCCGCTGGGTTTTCCTACTCCCCAAGTCTGAATCAGAGGAACTTTGGCCACTGACCGCCATCGTTTGCACTTCGATCGCTGACTTTAACTATATTGAAAACTGTGTTTTTTGTTGCGCGATGATGAAAAAAGATCATCAGGTCCGGTAACTTTGCGCTTTTTGTACTTCGGCAAAAGTGATTGTTCCCATCCGAGTCGCATGCGTGTGATTGTTGGCATTTTTTCACGTTCGCGCCAACACAACAAAAGCTCTTGTTTAGGTATTCGAGTAATTTTATTTCGATTTCTCAAGCATTTCTGTTGGCCAACCAAAAGCTTTCGATTCGTGCCGATTTTCGAAAACGGAGCCGACAACCACATAGTTTGCAATGCATGCACGCCGATTCCAAAGACACCCACAGAGTTTGTGTATTTGGTGCGCGTGTCGCGGTGACGAAGCTCGCGTGTATAATTGCGACGCTGCACGCGACGACTCGGACTTAACAGGTATAGTATACACTAACACATCCGATACTTACGAGAAGAAGAAACCATCAACAGCATCTGAGCATATATGTATATGAAATATGGGTGATATATGGCATACGCATAATATACACATGTATACACGAGAAGGAAAAGATAGGCGCACGCGCCGACTTTGCTCGGTTGACTTGCAACGGTGTACGTGTTGTATTGTAGTATGTAAGTATACTGGGTAAGTTGCGCGCGAGTCGTGTACTAGCTGTCAAACGCAGTTAGTGCCCGGCAGTCAAGTAGCGACGACGAGTTTATTCATTTTATTAATTTTTTTTTTTTACATTAGTACTCGTGCTTTTTGACACGTGGTATTTTTACTTTTTTTTTTTTTAACGCATGATTTCGCGTACATCCAAGCAAGTGTACAAGAACCGGCAATGTCGATAATCGCGCTCGTGCAGCAGGGCTGGCTGTACCTGCTCGAGAACTACTGGGACGCTGCGGTTGGTTTTGCCTGTTAGGTCAGTTTTTCTTGCGATATTTTATACTCGCGTTGTCGTTTTGGTACCCATTCGATTATTTATTTTTTTTTTTCCAACAACAAGAAATCGAGAGACAATCGGTTAGCATCGATCGATCTCTTTTTTAGCATACCGATCAGCTCGATCGTACCCATACTCGCGCGCTTGTAAAAAAAAAAAAAAAGCTACTCCAGCTCCTTCTCGTAAATCATCGTCCGTTGCGTGCAGCTGTGTCACTTCTCGTTTTGTGCTTAAGTGTATCCATCCACGAGAGCGCATCTCCCTCTGATGCATCATAATACATTTACACACAATTACTTCTATAGATCGATGCGAAACCTGCAAGCGCGACCCATCAACTTTTATTCATTTTGTACATGTATATGCACGTACTTGACGTACACGCGATCGAGAAAGTGCATTTTTTTTATCTCTTGGCGTTAATACCGTGCGGTTGTCGCGTGCGCTTCCGCGTCGTGGGAAATATTGCGGTTCGAGGATCGCGCGCTCCGAGATTTTTCGATTACACGCGTCGGCATTACGGTACTTCTGTCGGTTTTACACCTCCTTCGTCGAGGCACGTCATCCGTCCATTACTGACTTTCGGTTAATGGGTAAACGGTACAGACATCGGTCGAGCTTCTTATTTCGTCGCGTCAAAGCGGATCGATTGAAAGGACACTGTTTTCCTTTTTTTTTTTTTTCTATGGCGAATTGGCTCGATGTTTTCATCAAAGGAGCACGCGCCGATGTGTGCACTTGATCGACAAACTTTTGGCTCGTCGAGTAAACTGTCCCAAATGTGCTTTTACCACTGGGCGTTGCAAACGGAATTAATTTGCAAGTTAAATCCACGCGATCGAGGGCACATTTAGTTGAGATTTTTGAGAAGGAAAGTCGTGACCTGATTATAACAAAGTTCAATGTTTATGTGTCCTAACGAAGCAGAGAACGCAAATTGTTTGAAATTATACAGGGAGTCAAGATTCTGATGAATGAATAATATATTTTGTGCGTCAATTCGCCGCTGGAAGTTGCAGGTTTTACGCGCTAGTGTACACAGAAAATACTGTATAGAGATGTACTTGAATAGACATTAGGTTTCTTCAAAGTTTATTGTTTTCTTTAATGGGTGTGAAATTATTTACATATAGGCACTTATAAAGTATATAACTTTATTATTATTATTATCCGTCCAGACGAACGAGTAAAAAAATACTAGATTCTGCGCTTTTAGCAGACACGTATACGGGTACTTTTTTTTTTGTTAAAAATTTTATGAATTCGATATGCTCAAAAAATTTTTTTTTTTTTTTTAAATTACTACTTATCACGCGCATTGATGGAGGACATTTTTTTCAACAAAAACAATGCACTAAAGAAAAAAAATAGTCAAAGTAATTGGAAAAGTATTTAATCCTCTTACTTCAAATATTTGTGAGAATATTGTACGACAAACTCGAGAAGAATTACACTTATCTACTGAAAAAAAAAACCCACAGAACAAATGCAACTACGCTTGTTTTTCAAAAAAAGATTTCCGGAATTTAGTCCGACATCTGACGTATTGCTCTTTAAACAAAATGAACAAAGTTTTCAACGATTCGCAACTAGTGCATCTATGCGTGGTCAGTCACGCTTCAAAATGTTTTTCCGTACAATGTATACGCACCAAGAGGATAAGAAACCGAGCGCACTTTGTACATATTGTAAACGTATAGTCAAGCGCGCGTGCATTTTTCGTCAAATGCGAAGACGAAGACTGAGAAGAGGAAGGGAGAAAGAAGGTGGCAAAAAAAAAGGCACTCGTGCCCCGATATCGTTTGAAGTGTCCGCACACGTGTGTGCGCTCTCGAAACGTGCAGGTCCACCGGGCGGTAGTAAACGTACATTCAGTCGCAAGAGGAGGGGATTATGTACGCTTTTGCTGTTCACGGGGCCGGAAAAACTCACGGGTGTCTCTCTACTGATGCGCAACGGGAGAGAAAAAGATCCAGGACTTGGAGAAAAAGGGGTGGGCGCACGTGTGCACGTAGAATTTTTTTGCCAACCGCGAGCAGTTTCGAGTTTTTTAGGGGCTCTACCAAAGTTCCCCGGATGGGGTGAGGTAGATAATTTGGAGGATAGCTGTGGGATCGCTTGATTATAATTTTTTTTTTTTAAGGTGACCGGATGACCTTTTTTTTTTTTTTTTGCTAATTATGAGATATTGAACTTTGAATCTCTATTTGCAAACTTTCGTGCATGTGGTTGAGAGCGCAGTAGCTGTTTACTATTGAAATTGAAAAAATTAGCAATTATAATATTTTTCAACTTTGAATCCATCTAATCCAACTATTGTTCCACATGAAAAAAAAAAGATTGCAAAACTCAAAAATTTTACCTCACGTATTTGACGCAATTTCGTCAAACTTACATATATATACATCCACCAACAAAACCTCGCGGTAACGACACGCATTATTCATCACTCGACGCGTTTTACATATAGGAATCTCGGTGAGCTCTGCTAGCTATGCGAATCTCGAGCTTGACTTACTTATTCATACTGTGCCTTTTTTCTCTATTCTACGACCAAAAAACTTTATCTCATGCAAAAAGTCACAAGCGAATGGTATAGTTATCGTTGTTGCTGAGATTCTTTTTTTTTTTTTTTTTTTTTTTTTTTTTTTTTTTTTTTTTTTTTTTTTTTTTTTTTT